CGTCTTATAAATGGAAAAAACATAATAAGCTGTTTAATAATTAAACATTATATTAATCGAATACTAATCGTAGTATGCAAACTCTTACCATGTACCAAAAATTTAAATAAATTTTTATTATTTAATTCATTAAAAACTACATAGTAATTATAAAACAAAACGCAATACAAACTTATATTTTGTATAAAAAGAGAATACATAGATTAATGCATTGAATCATATCATAAAATTATTTTTATATTTTATTAACTAATTAACAGATCGATTACTGCTTCTATCGTAAAAAAATAAATTGAATGCACTATAAAATGTAAAAGCATATTTTGCACCACCTATAAATTATCATCGAAATAATTAAAAATAGTAATTATACATATACGGACATATTTATTTATCATTACAGACAAGTAACATATAAAAAAAAATATAAATTACAAATATTAAGAATAATTTTGACATTGGAAAAGTAATGAAATATTTACCCGGCGTTAAACAACTGTGTACTACTCGTAACTGATAAGTTGCAAAATAATATTAAAATATCCATATTTAGGTAATTAAATACATAAAATATATAAATAACCGTAAAGTTGAAAATAATTATCGTCGGTTAGGTTAAGTTAGATCACCCAGACATATTGCTTATGATTTATACCTGTTTAAATGATAGATTGGCGTTTGAGATTTGAAAATACATATTTTTGCATATAATACCTATATGGTATGTAAAAAGTATATGATTATAATAATAAAATAATAACAATAAAAACTGTAGTTGTGGATTATTAGATTTGATTAAACATGATGGCTGTTTTTTAACGCGATGATTAAATATATTAACCTAGTAAATGGTATAGTTCTTTTTTTCTATTAATTTCTTAATAATAATAATCGATTGACTGAACAAGAATAATTTTAATATTATCAGTACAATGGTAAAGATAGATTGTGTACCTTCTTGTGACACCCCCCCCCCCCCCCCCCCCCCATATGAGTATTTTTTTCTTTTCTTTTTTTATATCACTAGCGATACTGTCACAAATATATTTCTAAATGCCTACAACATATACGAAACCAAACAGCAACAATACGACGGCCGAACGTTGTAGACATTTGACGTAATTGGTGAAAATAACCCTTATCAGAGTAACCTAAGTAACAGACTGACGGACATGCTTAACGCGTGATACAATTAAAACCAATAAATAAAGAAAAAAATAAAAGAAAACGAAAAAGATAAAAAGTGTGAAAATCAAGTGCATTGTGATTCTAAAAAACAACAAAACTAGGAAAAGTAACAAAAAAATAACTCAAACAAATGTTGAAGTATTGACTCGAGCTAAGACAGACATTCTAAGTAAAATTTCTAAATAAAATAGAAAAACGCTAGGATTCTAAAACATTTTGTATTCACTATGCATAATGTGCCCTTAACTACAACTATTTAATCGTCAACTAATATTAAAAAAACAAAATTAAATTCTTTAATAAAATAAGTAGTTTGATAGTAATTTTATTTTCATTTATTTTTATACAAAAAATACAAATTGTAATGTACAGTATAAAGATACTTAAAAATCTTTCCTTTGTAGAAAAATTTAATACCAATTAGCCATTTCTCTTTATTTATAAAAATTTTAACTTTCTATACTTCTTTTCAATTTAAAAATTACGAAATCTCATTAAAATGAATAGAACGTATTATAAAATTATACAATACTTTATAAATTAATAAAACTACCTACATATATGCAAATCCTAATAAAGTCATATTAATAAATTTTAAAATATACAAAATACACATTATCTTTTACTTTTTTGACAAACTGTATTTTAAATTAATTTATTTCGGAGGCTTTGGAATATTAATTTAATTCATCAATAGTTCAAGTAATTGTATTAATTTTTACATGATTTTAAAAGGAACTTGTTAACTCTATTATATTTTCTGTTACTTAATGAAAAAATTTAATAAAGTTAAAGCTTTTGATCCAATTTACTATCTTAAATAAATGCTGAAACTCTAAAGTCCATAAGTACGGCGAAAACATGTTTTAATAAGAAACCCATAAAAATGCTAAATTATAATTTTAAAAAAAAATTGAACAAATAAAAATAATATTTATTGCATAATAATAATATAATACTTATTAGCAACGATTTTAAATCATGAGTTAGTTTAAACATTATTAAATCTAAAAAAATCTAAGAACATATTATAATAAACATTAATTTTTTTTTTTGCTATTTAGTGTTTCAAATGTTCATTATTTGTCTTAACTCGTTTATTTAATACTCTATATTATAGATTATAAAATAAATTTGTAATGAGTTATGAGAGCACATCAAAAATAAAAATGCATAAACACACCTTCATGTAATTATGAAACGGTCAAAAAACATATGTGAATTTTACAGATTAATAAAGCGATAAAACAGTTCAAATACCTATTATGATAGAATAAAAATTATTTTTCGGAATTATTTTTTAACAATTAATTCGCTCAAAAATGCAAACTATTTAATAAACTAAACATACTTATATATATACAAGTATATATGTATATTATTAATATATATAATTCGATTTAAAATTAACAATTTATTTATTATTTCAGTATGTCAAAAGCTATCGCATAATTAACTCGTACGGTTAAAATGTAATTATTTTATTATCAGACGAAACTAAAAGCACTACCTATTGAATATTTCAGAACCTTATTAATTTGATACCCAAAATCTCAAAACTCACCTACGAAAATACTAATGCATGATATTGCTGAGAACTTTTATTAATGACTGTGATAGGTTAGGTGTTTTCTGTCCTAATGAAAATATGACAACGTGAAGTTAAGCCAATTGTGATACTAAACTTTTCAAAAAAAGTAACACATTTTACCTTTCACCAAATTTTTTCTAAATATTTAAGTCTCATCGACATATAATATTCAATACTATAAATATATCTTAATACTATTAATATTAATACTATATTAAAAATTATAGTTTTTCAATAGCTGATACGCGTTTTAAAATACGAGTAAATACTACACATAATATTTTAAAACTATAAAGTAACCTTTAATAGTATGACCATGTGACCAGCGTTTAGAATTTTCTTGTTATTCACATTGAATTGAATAATACTGTTTATGTAAAATGATTTCACTAGTTATTAATAATAACCCTCTAACCACTCAGAGAAGTAAATAAATATATTTTTAACTATTCGTATGCGCTGTAATAATATGACCTAACCATATGGATTCCGCGGAATACGAATACAATATAATTTTATTGTACTTTTAAAACTTTAAATAGAATATTCAATAGACAATCCAATTGTGTATTTCGTTAATATCTTGTCATAAAAGAAAATAAGTATTGTTGGAATCATAACGCGCTAAAATATCCTTCAAAGTTAGTTATCAACACGCATAAATTAACATTTGCAGCTACTTGCAAAAAGATAAAATAATTCCAAGTAATCCAATGTGCTTGCAGCACACTGGTTGAAAATCGCTGAGAAGACGTTTGAAAATATTAACGATGACAATACATTATTCAACAAACTCGTTTACAGACTGAATTATCAAGCATGCTCACCTACGTATTGTTCTTTAATAACTAATGAATTTATTTAAATTCTGATTTTTGAAACTTTTTAGTGTGATTAGGTAAGGTTTTTATTTTTAAATACTTATCTTTATTATACCAGTCAAGAAGTGTTCTGTGATAATACGTACTTCTTTTTTCAAACAAGAATTATCCTTTTTTCAGTAAAATTTAAAACCGATAATTATTTTTAAAAATATTAATGTATTATCAATACAATTTGAACGAAATGATACCATAAGATATTAAATTTAAAAAACTAAGGTTTTAAAAATATAAAATGAGTATAATATTATAAATAGCATTTATTATAATCTAAAAATATTTACAGATAATTAATTTAATTACTAAAATGTTCAAATCATTAAAGCCCCCAAATCTCCAACACATCAAAATCATCAAAAAAAGTCATTCAATAAACAATTTCTAGAACAAAAAAATAGTGATTCTCATTTTAAAAAAAAAAGTTGGTACTACCAAAAGATACTTCTTAAATGGTATAACAAATTTAAGTATTTGAAACTTTGGTCCTTGATTATATTTCAATGCTCTAAAATCAGAACTGTATTAAGTTCATCAAAGAAAAAAATGTAGGTGAGTATACTCGTACATGGCGAATCATTCTGTAGATCAGGCGTGTTTAGCATGAACTTGGAGGGTCTCACGCAAAACTGACAATGATCACTACCTATATAATATCGTATGTGTACGTGTGTGCGTGTGTATGTGTGTGTGTGTGTGTGTGTGTGTGTGTGTGTGTGTGTGTGTGTGTACCCAGCATCTGCCTCATCGTCTATCACGACGGAGTTTTGGCGGTGATGACGCGCGTGACGTCCCGCGATTTTATTTTTATAATAATATGCCGCGAAGTGATGCACATTGGCCCTGCTGCCCGGCGGCGTCGCGTGTAGCGGTGAAAATAGCGTCCACACACACACACACCCGCGCGCACGCACACACACACACACACACAAAAGCGCACGTAGTTTTTGGACGGAGTTTCTGGAAAAAAAAAACAAAAAATTACACACTATGAAGAAAATCCACCGCGAAACATTATTTTTATAATTATTAATGCGAAGAAAACCAGTGTAATAATGATTATAAGTTGCACAACGGCCACAACGTCTGCGTCGTACTATACATCGCATTAATATGTTCCGCCGACGCCGACGCTGCTCTGCTGCGGCCGCAGACAACAATATATATCCGCGCAATCGATCTACAACTAAACTGTGGTTTTTACATTTCTTATTTGCTGTACCGCGTGTATTTAATTCGATCTGGCCGCGAAAACAATTTTTTGAAAAAAAAAAAAAGTCTCTTCTACTACGAAAACAATAATCAACACTATCTACTACAACAGTGAACATTTTAACACTCACCCTGCAGTGGGACAACCGCAAACCAAAAGATATTCGAACCGGACGCGGTATTCGATCCCGAGATAAAATGTGGCAAACAGCGAGTCAACGGTTGCACGACGACAACGACAACAATAATGTCGGTGCCTTTCGTGTCGGTGAAAAAAACGTTGCGCGAGCGATGCAGCGTCGGTGTCGTCGCGGTCGTCGTGTGTCACACCGCGGCAGTCACACGGTCCGGCGCGGATCCATCAGGTGGTGCGACGGCGATTCGGTAGCGAAAACCACGATCGTCGTGGGTAGTGGTGGCGTCGGCCGAGTTGGACGCGGTGGCAGTGATAACGGTGTGTGAGTGTGCAGTGTGAATTAGGAGTGTGCCGATGGTAGTGACGATTAGGGTGGTGGATGTTGGGTGTACCTCTGAATATAGTGCGTGTGTTTATGTATACAATTGACGCGCACACAACACGCGCGCACCACCGGTCTGGTACAGTTTGTAGAGCGGCAAACACGCGCGCGTACACGTACACGACGACTGACGCGACGTGCCGCCCGTACGCGAATGATGTCGCCCGCCCGCTACCGTCCGCCTAGTGTGCCTATGGTCACCATGGAGACTCAGGTTTTCATCACCGCGTGTGCGCTTGTGCCGCCAGACTTGTTGATGTCTCGCGGCGGCGGCGTGCGTATACATTGCCGCCTGCCGCGAATGTAATACGCACCTGCTGGTCCGACTGTCGTTAATGCAATATGCGCGTGTCGTAAATGTATAGGAGCTAGGTACGTTTATCGTTATGATTTATACGTGACTAAATATATAAAAGCAATGATCCATGACACCTATGAGTTTCGACTCACCTCACGAGACAAGAAAAATCCTATTATACCGCATCCACCCGTAGATCGAGTTATCGGACTTGGGTCCAAACCGATGAACGAACACTAAACACTGCAATGTTTCAAGCATGATCTTTAACGCGGGTACATAAACTTTTTAAATACGTAAGCATCTCTGATGAAAGATTTTTTTTAAATCATGAATCGGTTTATCAATATTTTATCAAATAACTTTTTTTTTGTTATACAAATTTGTTTACAATACATGTCATGTTAATAAAAATTAGAAAAGTCACTTCAAATAAAAAAGATACAATAACTCAACTATCTAAAATAATTATATGCTTTTTTAAGTATACCTAAAAATTACATTATTGAACAAGTATGTTATGTGCCCTGCATAACTGAAAACTGCACCATAGTGTCACAGGCCACAGTTTTAAAACCGCTTGTTTATGTTATTTACCACCAAAATTATAAGAAACATGTACGTATTCGTAAACTCTACATACACCACCTTATTTCTGCAGACTTATGTTCAACCCCTTGATACTGGTTAAGTATAAAACAATTCCCCATTTAAAAAATGTATTATTTCACCGAAAAAATTCTTTGTGAGGCGAGGAATATCTGAGAGGAGTTTTCCATTTACGTTCTGATTATGCAGCGCTATTATTATGACAACATTGTTATTAGGTAAATTGAAAAAAAAGATTACTCTGCAATAAGCAAGTAAATTCACCAGTGACAAACTATCAATGTCTGATAACAGTGAATTTCTGACTATCCGTCAGTTAGCTAGACGACAGAGTGTATACTCCGTTAGCAACCACATAATTGCATACACTAAAAAGTTACGAAGCGTTGGTAACGTTGGCTTTTATATTATTCAACGTTTTCTAAAATCTAATTTTCTCTACTAACTCTTATATCGAACATAAATATTTTTAGAACAACAGAGTTTTGGTAAAAGTATGTATAGATGCTTGTATTATTTCTTTTAAACTTGCAAGTTGCAATACTGTAATACTATAATAGCTTGAAATTTCTATCATATTCACTAAACGGATATTAAGGTTACTTAATCATTTTTTTTTATATTTCTAGATGAGATTGTATTGATACCTCTCCCACGATTTCTTTGCCAAATATATTGTCTCGATATTTCAAAAATCAAAATAGTATTATAATATAATTTTAATTTTTAAAACAGTTTTCAATCTGCATTTTATATATTATACGTTAAATATGCTAGTATTCTAAATTCTAATCATATTTTCATTGGATATTGTATCTGGTGCATTTAATTAATACGTATATATTATATATGTATATGTTACGAGCAAAATATACAATTTGAGCATTTTCTACAATGCCGGGGTATCTTATACAATGCCCGGGCATTATATAAAATTGCCTTCTTATAATGAGCAATATAGATAATATAATATTTGACAGTAAAGTATTATAAAAATATAATGAATAAAATATACTTATACTATAATATTTATATTATAAGAAAATAAAATAATTTATTTTTATTTTTATATCACTTATTTTTGCATGTACCTATTGTTTCCGAGAAATTTTTTTTACCTGGTAAAAAATGAATTATTTAAGTTTTTTTTTAACAAACTTAAATCAGCATTAAACTTTTCCATATTTTAGTTATTAGTTAATACGCAATTGAATTACACTATACAAATGATTCGTGGTTACTAAAAAGTTAATTTTACAAAAATTAACCCAATAGGCGCAACTAGATCTCTATAAAACGAGTTAAAACTAGTAATGCCTCACAGAGCCATGGTATTTTACTAAAATAATAACAGTTAAGTATAAAAAAATAAGGAGTGCTAAAACCCTTTTGCACCCACCTAGTTGCGCCACTAATAATCGGTATTGGTAAAAAGTCTTATCGATTATGGTATTATACAATAAACTTCTCAATCATAATATATGTCACATTTAATATGTGAACTTTCCAATTGTAAGAAAATCGGTAAGAACAAACAAAAAAATATACTAGCTAATCCAAATTTACAAATAATAACCAGTGCTTGATCTGGCTCTGATATTTTGACAATAATTTACCATTAAATATTATATTATCTATATTGCCCAATATACGAAGGCCATTTTATATAACGCCAGGGCATTGTATAAGATGCACGGACATTATAGAAAATGACCAAATTGTATATTTTACAATAAGATAACATTTACACTAGCTATACAGCGCCAGTAAATTATTATAAATAACGCTTTTAACAAATTGGTTTTTTTTTCAGATTGTGTATATAAGACTACATTTTCAAAGAATTATACCCTAGGCATCAATAACAAATCGTTCATTATACAATTCAGTAAAGTGAAACAAAACAAACTACGGCGCGAGTACAAATCACCATTAGACTAATTACCTACCTATAAGGTTTATAAATATAATGCGATACCATCTAGTCATCTAGACTATTGTAGTAAAGTGTCACAAAAAAGTAACGATTTTTTTTACTAATTATTGTATTACTTTATCAAATTCCCGGTGTAGGTGAGTTAATTCCTGAGACCAATTTTATATACGAGTTGATTCCCGGGTCACGAAGAGGTATGTACGAGTCGATTCCCTATTTTCGTATATCAATATAAAATGTAAGAGCAATTATGGGACTAGAAAATCTAAGAAAACGCAAGAAAAAGTACTTTTTTAAGAGAAGTGATGTCGCAGTATACTGACAATCTCATCAGATACCAATTTTTAAAAACAATGTATTATAAATTTTTACCAAATGACTAAACTTTTTTAATAATAATTTTTACCTCATAACTAATTTTTTTTTAATAAATAATAAATATAATACAATACAATAAATAATTAATAAATAAAAATATGAAAAACTAAAAAGAACAACATTTTTGAGAAATTTGTCAGCCAACCTCCTCGTGGTGTTTTTTGGGTTACGCTGATAGATTTAATATTTGAATAAATATTGAAAAAAATATATGATGACCAGGAAATCAACTCGTACACATATCTCTTGATGACCCAGGAATCAACTAAATTAACAACTTATGAAGAACTTAGTATTAAATTTTCAAACATTTTTATACAGCAAATAATTTTCAATCGATTAAAAAAAAAAAAAAATTTTGTCTTTAAATACCTTAAAAATAGTTGAAATATTTTGATAATTTAATGGTAAATAGAAAATGATGATATAAACATTTTGAGAAAATTGAAATGTCTTCAATAATTTGTCTTCAAGTTACATCAAAAACACATGATCAATTTTGTAAAAATTGAACTTGCGTAAAATTATCATATTTTCAAAAATATTTTATTAATTTTTCCTAATTATAAAAATAAGTACTGGAAGTTTTTAAGTTTTATCTTTTTAAAATATAAATTAGATCCAATTTAATATGCACCCATTTTCAAAATTAAAATGGTTTTATCAACAACTTATCTTACTTATCGTGTACTCGCTCAGAATCTAAAATTAATTTCAAACTGTAAAAAACTCGCTTTTATCTAATCACTGTGACCGTACTCAAATATATTTTCAGAAATTTTATTGAATGAATAATTAATACAATTGACAACAGATAGAAAAAAAACAAAATAATTAATATTTGTAAAGCGCGGTTTTTTTTTTTTTATTATTATTATTGTTGTTGTTGATACCCCTTCTCTAATATAAAATAAATAATATATAATATATATAATAATATATATATATATATATAATATATAACCTCCGTCCGCAATCGATAAATATCCGTCCGATTACAGACACGTAAAAAATATACGTTTTTCTAAACGCCAAGCACAGCATTTGGTACCCGGAGGGGTTGCTGTTTGTCACGATACGTCGAAAAATAGTGCATCTATCGTATGTAATTGACTCACTTAGAAAAACATTTACGGAAAATGTACGTACTACATTATTAATAGACAATAGGTAGAAAATTTAAACCTAAATCTATATGGTCTCGCTGCTGTTAATATTTCAAGAAATTTACTGACTATTTCACTCATACACTCTATGCATTGCAACTAATACTAATATTACTATAAGTCTTTAAATTATAAGGTAGGGTAAGATGGAGTCATCAACCTATATCGGTCATTTTTAAGAAATATCCCAACCCTCTTAGTATTGAAAAGTAGTAACTCAATTAACATATAATATTATGTAAGCTTATATTTTCTACTAGGGGTCGCAACATTAATTACAACAAAAATGTACTATGCTAATTCGGTAAATCCGTGCTATATTATACGTGCGTAAAATAAAAACAATGATTGTATAACAGGGTTTTAGCCATCTTGAGAACTAATTTCACATCACTCCTTGAAGTTGTTTATATATAAATATCAATAAATATACATTTTTATTTTACCCCCCCCCTCCACCCACAACATAAATATCTGTACATAAATAATAAGTCTCTATAATTAGAAATTAGTAATTACTACGAAATTAAATGATTACCATAATAAAAACAACAGATAATAGAATATAGTAATAAAGGTATTAGTATTGATTTTTGTAATGAATTTATAAACAACACAAATTATAAATTTAAGAAAATACTATAAACGTAAGGTTAGATTAACACGTTATTGCGATATGCTAAGATACTCAACTATATACTCGTATTACTATACATACCAATTATCCTTTTAATATTTTTATCGTTTCTA